TCCCGACTTTGAAATCATGTGACTTCACTGTAAGTCACATGAGACCGTAGAGTAAGTCGCACCACTTCAAAATCCGCTTTGATGTGACTGTGGTGTTAGCCCCCAGTCACATCGGGTGCAATTTGGCATGCGATTTGCAAGTCGCAGGGCATGCAAATCACATGCCAAGTCGCATCCAGGGTGCACAATTTCAGGTGCGATTTGGGAATTGAAATTGTACCTGTTATTGGATCTAATGAATGTTGATGTGAGTGTCTTAACGTAAGCGATTTTCTGCAGCACAATTTCAAAAGTAGTTCTTGTCTAACTTTTTCAGCATTTTGTAGCTATTTCACATATAGACTACAATAGAAATCGCAATGCAAAACACAATTGAAAACGTAATAACTCATTGGTAAATCTACCGAAAACACAGTGAAATTGCCAACAAAAAGCACAATTTTAAATCACATCTAGTGTGAACCAAGCAGGTAATTCAACAAAGGAAATAAATCTTTGAAGGCATGCGGTATTTGCATGCTCGGATAAAGGTCTGGTATGGATATTTAGGGGGACTCCATGCCATTGTTTTTTAAATTTTGCCGTGGAGTTACCCCTTAATACCAAATTAAAAAAGAAAAAAGCGCCATTTAAAAAAAAACACCAAAGTGTCAGCAGCATATCCCACCCAAAATAAATTTTGGCAACAATAATCCTAATTAAAAAGGTATGCGCTAATAACAAACTTTTACAAAGGTGTATATCATCATCCAAAAAAAAACATTTAGTGTTTTAAATAAATAATTATAGTGACCAAACATAAATTAGTGTCCAAAAAAATATATATTAGTGTCCAAAAAAAAAAAAAAAAAAAAAATATATATATATTATATATATATAGATCTTCAGTGACTTGAACCAATTGTGAAAAATCCACCACCAAAGGAGATTAAATGAACTCACCAGAGCTAATGGCTGGTCAGATTTATAAACCAGCAACAGCACTTGTGCTCTGGGAGCAATGAACCCGATGTCCAAATAGATATGGTGATGTTTCAGATACTTCCGGATAGTAATAATCACAGACAAACAACTTTGCAGCCCAAGCCCTTATGATGAACTTCTCCACTCTCTCATATCTCCATGAGAGCATGCAGTACACTCAGGGACAAAAAAAGAGAACATAATGGTGCAATACGTTTTTTTCATTTATTTCTTTAATAAAAAAGGTATAAGGAAACTCACAAACAAGGTGTCCAACAGACACCAGCTTCAATCGCAAAAAAGGTGAGATACAATTACCGCTCTCACCACGGATCTCTCCCATACAGCACAGAACAGCAAGGCTCTCTAACGTCCACATCGTGTAGGCCACGCCCAACCGGTTTCGTCACACCGACGTCATCAAGGGGCAATATCCATACCAGATCCGAAGGGCTTGGTATGGATGGGAAGGGGGGACCCCACCCAGTTTTTTTTTATTAATTATTTAATTTACGGAAATTATTTTACATTCAGCTGTCAGTGGGGAACTCCGATGACAGCTGAAACATTAATGTAGGCCATAGACGGGTCGAAAACCAACCTCTTAAAAAAAAAAAAAAAAAAAAAAAAAATCGGTCGTTCAATAGGCCGACGTTACCACCAACGGTAAAAAAAAATCGGCTGATTTTCGTCCTGTCTACGGCCGGCAAATATAATAGCGGAGTAGTACTTCTGTCCCTGCAGAGAGCTCCGCTATTATATTTGACATTAAAAAGTATAGCGGTTGCAACATTGTATCTATTTGTATCCAAATAAAAACATCTGTATCCGAAATGGATACAAATAGATTTAGTTTTTTTTGTGAATGAGTAGTGGTAGCATGTACTGCATACTCATTCACGTGGGGGGGGGGTTCTGATAAGCCCCCCGCCCACAGACCCCCACAACCACCGGCCAGGGTGATAAGCCCCCCCTGCCCCAAAGCCCCCCCCATGTTTAGGGCATGTGGCCTGGTATGGTTCAGGAGGGGGGGCGCTCGCTCTTCCCCCTCCTCCTTTCCTGACCTGCCGGGCTGCATGCTTGGATAAGTGTCAGGCATAGATTTTGGGGGGAACCCCACACTGTTTTTTCTTTAATTTTGGTGTGGAGTTCCCCCTTAATATCCAAACCAGACCCAAAGGGATTGGTATGGATGGGAGGGGGGACCCCACACCGTTGTTTTTTTTTTTTTATAATTCCCTGCAATGCTTTTACATTTAGCTGTCAGTGGGGAACTCCGCCAACAGCTGAAACATGAATGCTGCATTGGTTTTCACTACTAAAACGCCGCATGAGTTAATAAAATAACTCATGCAGTATTTTAGTAGCGACAATCATGTGTTAATGTTTCAGCTGTCAGCGGGGTTCCCCAGTGACAGCTGAATGTAAAATAATTTCCTTAAATTAAATAAATAATTTAAAAAAAACTGCGTGGGTCCCCCCTCCCATCCATACCAAGCCCTTTGGGTTTTGTATGAATATTAAGGGGTAACTGCACGCCAAAATTTTAAAAACAATTGCGTGGAGTCCCCCCTAAAATCCATACTAGACCCTTATCCGAGCATGCAGCCCGCCAGGTCAGGAAAGGCATGTGATCCCACCCCATGTGACAGCAATGATGTCATATGGGGCGGGGTCACTCGGATGATGTCCCCGGCTGGCCCCGCCCCTTTCCTATTTAAGAGCTGTCACCCTGGCTCACTGCACAAGGCTGGTAGCCTCCACCAAGAGCGGAACTTTTTTTTCTTTTTTCAGGTCGCCACCGTGTGACATCGTGATTGACATTGGATCTACTTCGGGGGACATTGTTTTATTAAAGGACTTGTCAAAGACCCTGTCCTGTTGTTTTTTACACTATACTTTTGCTTTTTTTTTGTGAATGAGTAGCGGTACCATGTACCGCATACTCATTCACGTAGGTTGGGGGCTGGGATCTGGGGGCCCCCTTGTTAAAGGCGGCTTCCAGATTCTGATAAGTCCCCTGCCTGCAGACCCCCACAACCCTGGCCGGTGGGTGAAGAGGCCCTTGTCCCCATCAACATGGGGACAAGGTGCTTTGGGGGGAGCCCCCCCTGCCCCAAAGCACCCCCCCATGTTGAGTGCATGTGGACTGGTATGGTTTAGGAGGGGGGGGGGGACGCTCGCTCGTCCCCCCCCTTTCCTGAACTGCCAGGCTGCATGCTCGGATAAGGGTCTGGTATGGATTTTGGGGGGAACCCCATGCTTTTTTTTTCTTTAATTTCGGCGTGGAGGTTACCCCTTAATATCCATACCAGACCCGGAGGGCTTGGTATGGATGGGAGGGGGGACCCCACGCAGTTTTTTTTTTTTTTTTTATTGCAGACCTTTATGTTTACATTCAGCTGTCAAAATTAATATTATCTAGACCTTCGAAATAAGTAAAATCATTACAGAAATAATTATAAAGGATAAGAAACAAAAATAGAATCAATAGAACTAAGGAAATCAAATTAGAATACATAAAGATATGCCTAGCTACAAATAGTGCTGTTTGTTAAACACAGTAGACGCGATTGAGTGCCGTCTGTCAGTGGAATCCACACATAGATTTACTATTGAACAGCGTCTAAAAAGAAAACGCCCACGGAAGACTTCTAAAATGTGTTCTACACATGCGCATTTATATCGGCCAAAGACACTGCAAAAGCTTCTAGTTCTTCACTGTGTCAACTTGCTTTAAAAAACAATTTTTTACACATTTTAATAATTTTTTGAAATGGCAGATATTGTTTAAAGTGAAGTCCTGATATTTGGCAAAGCAAATTTCAATGTTAACATGTCTCTGCAATGATTTTTTCTTGGTGTTAGACGTGCCTCTTAGCAAGTCTGCTTTTTGAGTCTGATTCCTGGGCTGTGTCTCGTTAGTAAATTCGATTTGGCGTCTACTTGTTGACGCTTTCTTTAGTAAATGTCTTTGCGGTGTAAAAGTAGACGGTCACTATTAAAAAGTAGACGTTAGCTCACAGAAATGCTCCTAGGCACAATAGTAAATCAGGGTCTTTCAGTCTAGTATGTGTTTTAAGGAGGATCTCCATGCAAATAAACCACCCCAAAAATATGCATGAAGTCCTCCTAAAATCTATACCAGACCAGTAAAACTGTGTTTTTGCCTTAATTCATATTTTGCATATTTTTGGGAATGAGTTGGGTAACCTTACTCATTCACAAGGGGAGGGTGGCATTTGGATGCCCCCGTAGTGTTCCCCCCTTTCCTAGCCTGTCAGGCTGCATGCTTGGATGCTCGGACAGGGGCCTGGTATAGAAATTTGGCGAGACCTCACACATTTTTTTTTCTTTTTGTGTTTTTGGTATGTTCCTACCATACCTGAAGGGTCTTTTATTGTCCAAATATGGCCATGTGGCAATTTCTGGCAATGATGTTACCTCCTATCCCCAGGCCTTGGCATATGTGGGCAGGGATTCCAAGCCAAGTAAATGAATGGGCTAGGTATCATTACTAATTCCACTTTAGTTTTCCCATGGTGGATCTAACTTTATATCCACCAATCTACATTGGATGAATAAACAGCTTCCAGCCTATGGGTAGCTTAATTTGATGAATAAAGATATAAAAATAAATGGTTACTTTTTTTTAAATCACTTTACCCCTTATATTTTGAAACTTAAAGTTATATTATAAACATTTTAAACTTGATATGTGGCTTATAAAATTCAAACATGCATCAATAAACACTGAAAGATCAGGTGTTTTACAAGGGTAAAAGACATTCCAAAAGAGAACTGAAAGACATTTTGAACATGTTAAAAAATGTACAATAAAAACACTGCGTCCAAAAGGTTGTGTCACAAATAAAGGGGAATAAAGAAAAGTGATTTATTTAAATGAATACATTTATAAATGTATTGTACACTGTTTAGTAAACAGTAGCAACTCAATAGTTGACTTTGGTATGAGCTAACAACCTCATAAAAACAATATTTGTATAAGATGTTGAAAAAAATGGAAAAAAACTTACCAATAATGGAAGCCAACACAGGCTAGCAATGATCATGATCCCAATGAGCTGGACCATCATTTCCACTTCACTGTCCCTTCTTCTTTGAACAGACTCACGGTCATGATATACTCTGCACAGAGTCACTACACTGACAGTGTTGAGGATAAAAGAGAGACAGACAGCAAATATGCCTGTCAGTGAGAATACTAATCCAAATGCTTTATTCTTTGAATCTTGCAGCAGAGTTAGAAAACACCAGGATTTTGGAAATTGTAAGGTATATTTCCCAATGCCCATAACTGGCAATAAAGCCAACAAGAAAGCAAAACTCCAAACTATGATCACAATACCCCAAGCTCTTTTTTTGGAAATATTGGCAGTACGTGAAAAAGGTCTGTTTATACCAAAGAAGCGTTCAGCAGCCATGGAGGCACCAAGAAGAAGAGGACACAGTCCATAAAAAACCATAGAAAGTCCAAAAAAATTACATAGATAGCAATTTTTATCAAACGCCTGCCAATCAAAATGAGTAATATGGTAAGACACCACAATAATACCAGTTACTAATAGTCCCATGAAATCTGTTACCACCAATCCAAGAAGGAATATTAGGAAAGAAGACCGTGAGCGACTTTGAGTTTTTCTTGATGCACTAACTAACACAAAAAAAGCAAATAGATTGGAGCCAAGGCCAATGATTGAAAAAGTAGTAGAGAACCACAAAGAGGTGATAGGTTTTTGACCTGAAGTTGAAGTTGTCATATTAATGTATCGGAAGCAGGATCCTAATGGTGAGGTCAAAATGCCTTTTTCTATTTCCATGGCAGGGCACAGATTATCTTTAGTTTCATTTACAAGATGCATGTTTGGATCCTTTATTATTATTACAGTAGTAGATTCTATGCAGTAGATTCTATAGTGCCAGTATCCTTTGCTGAAGTTTTGAAGGGCTTGACAATTGAGTCTTTAAAAATGCTTGTGCATTTTACAGAAACTGAAAAAAAGAAAAACAGTTTTAGTTTCTCTACTCTAAATTCATATTCAAAACAATTAATAGGAATACAATATTTTTAATAAGTCATTACAGGGGTTGGCCAAAAAAATGGAAACGCTACATGATTTGTAGGTGTGAAAGTGACAACATGTTTCATGTTGAAAGCGGAAGTGATGAGACACCTAGCTAACAGGTGGGAAGACCCATTTTTCCATCATTCCCTGTGTGTGCTGCTAGTAATACAAAGTCATGTCAGAACTTATTGAGCTTCAAAGAGGGCAAATTGTTTGTGCCCGCTGAGCTGGTGCATCTGTGGCTGAAGTTGCCAATTTACCGTGTTGCAAGGTACAGTATCAAAGCTTATGATGGCATATACAGTTTCTAGGAAAACGTCCTCTGATAAGCAAAAGTGCAGTCAATATGGTCAAGTGACCGAAAGAGACAAAAGGACATTGCTCAGGATTGTGTCCCAGAATAAGCAAACAACTGCTGTAAAAGTTACCGCAGAGCTCAACCTCAGTCTTCACGGGACAGCGGTTTTGCTTATCAGACAATGTTTTCACAGAAACTGTATATGCCCACATTACCTTTGATATTGTGCCTCACGACATGGCAAATAAACTGGCAATTTCAGTCTCAGAAGCAACAAAAATTTGCCCTCTTTGGAGCTCAGTAATCTCTGACATGACACCGTATTACTAGCAAGTACATGCAGTAAATGACAAAAGTAAGGCTTCCCACCCAAGTGTCTCATCACACAGCGAAAGTAAAAGGATGTTACATCACTTCCGCTTACACTTTCACACCTGCAAACTATATAGCGTTTCCATTTTTTTTGTCTAACTCCTGTATATTTAATTTAACCAGTATCAGTTTTTCTACTCTAAATTCATATTCAGAACAATTTTTATGAATACTATATTTTCAGTCATTGCTGGGGTTGGCAAAAAAATGGAAACACTACATGATGTGTAGGTGTGAAAGTGATGACATGTTTCATATTTACAGGTAATATATATATTTACAGGTAAAATTAGAATATCATGCAAAAGTTCATTTATTTCAGTAATACAACTTAAAAGGTGAAACTGATATGAGATAGACTCATTACATGCAAAGCAAGATAGTTCAAGCCGTGATTTGTCATAATTGTGATGATTATAGCTTACAGCTCATAAAAACCCCAAATCCACAATCTCAGAAAATTAGAATATTACATGCAATCAATAAAACAAGGATTGTACATAAAACAATATCGGACCTCTGAAAAGTAGAAGCATGCAAATGTACTCAGTACTTGGTTTGGGCCTCTTTTGCAGCAATTACTGTCTCAATGCGGCGTGGCATGGAAGCTATCACCCTGTGGCACTGCTGAGGTGTTATGGAAGACCAGGATGCTTCAATAGTGGCCTTCAGCTGTTCTGCATTGTTCGGTATTATGTCTCTCATCTTTCTCTTGGCAATGCCCCATAGATTCTCTATGGGGTTCAGGTCAGGCGAGTTTGCTGGCCAATCAAGCACATTAATCCCACGGTCATTGAACCAGGTTTTGGTGCTTTTGGCAGTGTGGGCAGGTGCTGGAAAATGAAGTCAGCATCCCCATAAAGCTCGTCTGTGGAAGGAAGCATGAAGTGCTCCAAAATCTCCTGGTAGACGGCTGCATTGACCCTGGACTTAATGAAGCACAGTGGACCAACACCAGCAGATGACATGGCTCCCCAAATAAACACAGACTGTGGAAACTTCACACTGGACTTTTAAGCATCTTGCAGTGTGTGCCTCTCCATTCTTCCTCCATACTCTGGGTCCTTGGTTTCCAAATGAGATGCAAAAGTTGCTCTCATCAGAAAAGAGGACTTTGGACCACTGAGCAACAGACCAGGTCTGTTTTTCTTTAGCCCAGGTAAGACGCTTATGACGTTGTTTGTTGTTCAGGAGTGGCTTGACAAGAGAAATACAACATTTGAAGCCCATGTCCAAGATCCGTCTGTGTGTGGTGGCTCTTGATGCACTGACTCCAGCCTCAGTCCACTCCTTGTGAAAGTCCCCAACACTTTTGAATGGCCTTTTCATGACAATCCTCTTCAGGCTGCAGTCATCCCTGCTGCTTGTGCACCTTTTTCTTCCACACTTTTCCCTTCCACATAACTTTCTATTAATGTGATTTGATACGGCACTTTGGGAACATCAAACTTCTTGCAACTCCAATTTCCTGTTGGGCGGAGTTACAGCAAGGTGTGTGTGGTGAGAGAGTGCTCTCTAGAGCTCCAGCAGGCCTCATTTGGGGCCTGGGGCTCAATTTTTGGCTTTAGCCCACTTTACCATGGCCGAGCCTGGCCGTTATCCGGGTGGTGGACCCCTGCGTAGGGCGCCTAGTACCGGTCCTAGGACATCCGTGGAGGACCTGGGAAAGGGCCCTAAGGCTGGAGAGACCTATGCCGATTACTGGGGTAGAGTGGTGACCCACGTGAAGAAAATTGAGAGAGAGGAGGAAAAGCTAGTATAGATGAGGATGGACTTAAAGCATTTCAAAGCAACTTATGACCGAGTCTGGGTACCAAACGGCAGGCCATGCGGCCAGAGTTGGAAGGTATGGAGAAAGCTGTTCGCTTGCAAGTGGACCTTGTGGCTACACTGAAGGCTGCGAGTGGTACATTGAAAGAGAAATTCACAAATGAGGAGAGATTCAAGCAAGCAAGAGATAAGTCAGTAGCAGTGATGAGGGGCCATGATAGTGGTGTTATTTCTTCAGAAGATTTGTCTGATCCTGCTGGAGGGGGCTCTGCAGCAGGGAGCAAGCAAGATGGCGGAGCTATGGCCACTGGAAATGTGGTAGGAGAGTCTGCTCCCATCCCTCCCAGGCAGCCTGAGCAGGACTGGGCAGCTCAGGTGGTGCAAGGTGAGGAGGAGGAGGGGGCTATGGAGTTCATTACTGAACTAGAGTCTCCACTACAGGGAAGGAAGTTTGCATTTACCTCAGATGACACTGACCCAGAAATGGATGTCTGTCCCAAACCCATGAGGCCAAAAAAGAGGGAGAAAGCAGTGTATGTCAGGCTGGAAAGGATGTCTAGTGAAATAGAAAGAGCTGCTGGCTTCAGGACTGTGAGAGGAGTTGCGGTAAAGCCGCAGGACTTACACAAACCTGGGACTGTGAGTAACATGGATGGGTCTGAGGGTATGATTGTCAGTATGTCTGATAGTGCAGCTGCTGTCAGGGCTGTGTCTGCAGTCTCTGATCCTGTGTGTGTGTCCAGCTTGGCTGAAGCTGAGCTCATGGCTGCCTCTGTGTCCATCCCTGCTCCTTCCATCCCTGGTCATGTCTCTATACCTGTCTCTGCACCTTTCCCTGTTTCCACCTCTACTCTCGTTTCAGCTCCTGGTTCAGTGCCCACCCATGGCCCTGCCCCGTCCCCTGACTTGGTAATTGGTCCGGGTGTGGGCTTTGCTCCTGTGTCGGGTGCCGTCTCTGCACCCGCCCATGATCATGTCACTATCTCTGTCCCGCCCCTTGGTGCAGTGTCCATGCTTAGTGCGGTCTCTACTCCTGTTTTGGGTGCCGTTTATGCACCCGCCCAAGGCCGCATCATTGCCCCACCTCCTAGCTCTGTGTCTGGTTCCAAGACAGTCTGAGATCCCGTCTCGGGTACCGCCCATGCACTTGCCCACGGTCACGTCATGGTCCAGCCCCTTGGCTCTGTGTCTGACTCCAAAGCAGTCTCAGATCTTGTTTCGGATGCCGCCCCTGCACCCGCCCACGGTCATGTCATTGCCTCGCCTCCTGAACCTGTGTCTGGCCTGAATACAATGTCTGCTCCTGTGGGGGGTACCTCCCAAGCAACCACCCATAGTAATGTTAATACTGCTGCCCCGCCTCCTGTTTCAGCATCTGTCCTTAATGTAATCTCTGCTTCTGCTTTGGGTGCCACCCCTAAACCTGCCATTGGTCCAGGCTCTGAGACTGCTCAGGGTCCCGCCTCCACTCCAGTCCTGGCTCAGAAGCCAGTGCTCAGCTATTCAGCTGCCCTGAGGAGCGGTCAGAGTATGACAAGACCATCTGAAGTGCTGGCTGGAGGGTTAGGGACCGTGGTAAAACATAGGAACGTGGTTCAAATCAGGTGGAGAGGGGAAAGCTCGCCCCCCAGTAGGCGAGATGTTATTGTTAGGTTACTAGAGATGGGCTTTAAAGCCCAAGACATATTCGCCTTCATAGCGCCTGTTGGTACAGGGGAATTTGATGTTTCTTTTGTGAAGCCAGAGAGCCTGGATCTCTTCTGACTGAGATACGGGGGGGGGTGGAAGGATACTCCCAGGTGGGAGGGGTTGGAGCCCAAGGTGGTCTCCAGGCAGTCCCTGATCAAAAATATAACTATCCTTGTCAGGAATGAATCTATACCTTCTGCTGACCTGATGATTTGGCTGAGCCGGTTTGGGGATGTGATGGGTCCCATGAGGAAGCAGCTAGATGACAGGGGAATATGGACAGTTGGGTGGTCCACAACAGTGAGGCTGAAAGTAGTGGGGAATGTCATCAGCCATATCCCATCATCAGCTTTCCTAGGTAAGGATAGGCTGGTGATATTTTATGCTGGCTAGCCTAAGTGTGGCAGCAAAGGGCATTTTGCATCAGGTTGTAGTGTTTTAAAGTGCTCATTGTGTCAGGAGACTGGTCATGTGGCCAGAGACTGCAACCAAATCAGATGCAATCTCTGCCAGGAGCTTGGCCATTCTTACACTAGTTGTCCAGAGGCCCTGCCCAACATGCCTG